AATTTGAAATAAAAATGAATTTGAAATGAAAATGAATTTGGAATGAAAATGAATTAAAATTAAATAATAAAAATATCCGTAGCCATCTCGGCCACCATAGTCGAGGAGCAGACGAGGAACGTGTGTAGGAACTGATAGGAAACCCATGGAAGCATTGGCAGAATAACTGGCTCAGCAACTAACGAAAGAATTTGACAAGAAAATAAAAGAGAGAACATTTATAAAGGTGATAAGGACAGGCGGAAGGTCATAGTGAACTGCTGGGAAAACAGGTGTCGAAACAAATTGGGAACTCATGGTATATTAATGGATAACTGATATGCCCACTGATTGAGAACTGACAAAACATATGAGAAAACCGATGCGAGAACTGATTGAGAAATGACGGAGAAGTAATGAGAGAACCTGCGAGGAACTACTGGTGAGGGGACGGGGAACTGTCAGGGAACGGGAGGGAAACGGACAGTGGAAACGATCGGGGAGGGGGAACAATAGAACAGTATTCCGTATGATTCATTCTCAGTAGAAATCGCAACGCGTAATATTCCACTGACGGGCCACTTTCGTTTGCTTTAATTTTGCAGTCATTATAAATCTAATTAGGTCCCGAGATTTTTTTTGTTGATGGGCGGGTATAGGTTTGAGCGAGCACCCTAGCGTGGAAATAATTCCATCGTCGGCATTCAGCCAAATCTATTGGCGAAATTAAAAGCTTTCTGTTATAGCGTTATTAATACCATTGACACGGTGATTAACAGGAATTAAAATTTAAATAGCGTTCTCGTACACTTCTCGTTGCATGCGTGTGTAAGTACTGCCGTGCTTTATCGCTGTGGGACAGAACCCTCTACACATTACCACGCCCAAGCATCATCGCTGGGAGAGTGGTCTGTAACGCCTATATACATTAACTGCGCGTTATAACCGAGTCTGTCTTTCGCATTTTACAGAGACAAGCTGAAGTCCCGGAAGTCGGCTGCCTTTAATGGCTTTATATCAGACACGACGTCGGCGGTGGGGCCGTCTACCCGACAGCACTTTTCGTATTCCTAGTCAAAGATCCGGTCGGTAGTTCACACAACGTCGATATATCGCGTCGACTGTAAACGATGATGATTCGTATTCGAGAAATAGTGTTCCAGCCGCGCAGTCCGACCACAGCTCAGCGCTGTGTCGCATCCTGAGCGCCATCGCTCTTACCGCGAAAGCTCTCCTGCAAAAAAATTATGCAAATAATTGCATGAAACCCCACCAACGTGCAGCAACGAAACAGTTAGACGTAGAACGATCGTATGGACCCCGCTAATGAAGAATCAGGCGCAACGTGTCCTACCGGCGTCCACCTAGCTCTCACTCCGGAGTGCAGAGTCAGACGGCTGTGTAATGTTTCACGTGTCAATGTCACATACATATTTTAGCGCAGTTACACGTGTGTAGGTTGCAGACGGCCCATAGAGAGCTATTCTAAATGTTTAGACCGGCCGCCTGCGTTTCGTGTGAGCAACGGCGTGATGCTTCATGCGGCTAGATTGCGTTCGAGTTCCGTCATTCTAATTTTGCATACTAACAATTCTGAAAAATAAAACAAATATTGAATCAGCGCGTTCTATGTATATTAAGTTTAGTCTGCATCGCAAAGTTTAACATTGATTTCTAACTAGACAATACAATACAAAAAATAAACTAGATTAATGTTTATGAGTTTTTAGCGTTACAGGTATTTCCAAGCTATTCCCCACCAGGTTAGGCACTTATTCGTTAAATAAGATAGTGAGTGGAAGAGAAATAAACTCTAATAAAATGGCAGCGTCTTGATTTGTTATAAATAATTGCATTATTTGTTTTATTCCCCTCATAACTAATAAATGCCTATGAGAACGAGGATCAATAGCGCATCAAACAAGCATATTAAATATTTAAATTGTTATAGTTATAACAGAAGTGCATTATATAACAAGAGAATAATATATTTACCAAGTTTTTACTTTGTTTGCATCTCGATTTTTGGTATTTCTAAAAAGATTAATTAACGTATACTTTCCTGCACGTATTTCATGGGCGCGCGCGTGTGTCAGTGTGCGTACGTGGGTATGTGCTTGTGTGCGTGTGCGTGTGAGTGTACGTGTGAGTGTGCGTGTGAGTGTGCCTGTGAGTGTGCATGTGTGCGTGTGTGCGTGTGTGCGGGCGTGCGTGCGAGTGTACGTGTGTGTGTGTGTGTGTGTGTGTGTGTGTGTGTGT